GTTTTTTCACAATGTAGTAACTTATAGGGTGTGGGGTCTCCACCCCCAAAAACCCCCAGGCAGCCATGGTGGGCTGGGGAATTCTGGGAGTTGAAGTCCACACAGCTTAAAGTTGCCAAGTTTGGAACACACTGGGTTAGACGATCAGAGCCAGTGGAAGATGGTTCCACAAAATTTAACTGCTAAACCCTGACACTACCGGATCAGACCTGTCAGTTGATTCGTGACCCACCTCATGTTCTTCCTCCTCTTCCTTTTTTATTTTTTAATCTGTCCAATTATGTCCAATTCTTGGAGACTGCCTGGACGAGTCCCTGCAGTTTTCTTGACAAAGTTTTTCGGAAGCAGTTTGCTATTGCCTCCTTCCTAGGGCTGAGAGAGAGGGACTGGCCCAAGATCCCCCAGCTGGCTTCGTGCCCAGATGGGACTAGAACTCGTGGCCTCCTAGTTTCTAGCCTGATGCCTTAATCACAACACCAAACTGGCTCTCTCTTCCTATTATTGTACCATAAACTGCTGCACTGTCACTGTGATTCAGATTTCAATGGATAAACTCTTATTGTTTAATCATTGTGTGTGTGTATTGCACTGTTGGGAATGAGAATCCTAGGAGTTGAAGTCCACCCATCGTAAAGTTGCCAAGTTTGAGAAACGCTGCCTTAGATGCCCTCAAGGAAAACAAATGCTACTTTAACATCAGTATAACCAAAAATGACTGAAATCTGACTCACATCTGGGTTGGGGATGACCTGAAGCAGCATCAGTGGGACCAGGGAGGAAATAAATGTTGCCAGGGGTGTGATGGTTAGTGCAAGTGGGGATGGGAGAAGCAAAGGGAAAATGGTGTAAACCCTAAGCCCTGCAGAGCATAGGCATTTCTGGTGGTCAGCTGACTTCAGGAGGGTTCATTTTGTGCCCCTGCTGAGTCAGCAGGAAATCAGCTCAGCTGTTCAGTAGAGAGCATCATGTGAGATCACAAGGGTGCTGTGTAGGAAGTCTCCTCAGATGTTCAGGAGGACGTAAGTTGAACATTGCCAGCATGCTATTGTCATTTAGCTGTAGATCCCTAGGTGACTTGGAAAAGATTTTCAGATGCTGTCATGTGTCTACACCTAGCGAGGGGGGAGAAATGTACTTTCAGACTTGCAAGATTGATGTCAGCCCTTTGAGGACTCCAGACCAGAAGCACCGACCATGAGTACTAACACTATCTTTATTGTAAGGTTACAGTAACAGAATCTTGCAAGTCTGAAAGTCATGTTCAGTGAGATGGTGGCTATATAAATTTCCTAGCTAACTAACTGAACTTCTGATGACATTAGGCCATGATGCTACTACACGTGTCACTCTTTTGGCTGCATCGTGGTTTGCTGAGGATCCTGGGGATTATTGTTGCCCAGAATTCCACAGGTTAGAGAGGCAGCCCTATAAATTTGATTAATTAATTAATAAATCATAATGAATCTTTGTCTCCTAGGAAGGCATAACAGTGGGGGTCAATGTAAACTCAGAAGTCCCTGTACTCAAAAGAGATGGAGCAAAACGTGAATAAAATATCCCCACCTTTGGAGATTGGCTGCGTAGGAACTTTATTTATTTAATAATTCTTTAAGAGTTAAACAATTATCCCTGTTGGAAACCTTTTAGAAAATCAGCTCATACTGTGATTAAAGCCTTGGCCATGTGGGTTAAGATGCAGGCAGATTAGTTGGACAAGGCGTTTAATGTGGTGGCAATTCTGCTACGCATAAAACCATTCCTTTGGTGAAGTGGGCGGTAACAGGATGTTTTCCAGCCAAGCCAACAAATCTGTAATCATCCTTGTTACTTATCAGCTGCATTGGATGCTGCAACTGATCAAAGCAATAGCCATCTCCAGTAAAAAAAAAAAAAAAACCAGAAAAGAGATTGTGGAGACCTCTTCTCCACCTGCTGACCGTC